AAAAAAATCTTCATATAGACTGATATATTTTTGTAAGATTTTTCAACACAAAGATGAAAATTAAAATGGTCTGACAAACCCCCACTTAACCAAAGGATGCAAGAAATCAGAACAACTAACATGATACTCACTGAATTTTTTTAACTATAAATAATTTAAAATGCCTCAATTGTTGCATTAAACTGATAGGTAAAATAAAGGTAGGCGGAAAGAAGTTATTAGAACCTTCTTAGTCCTATATGTCGTTAGTTTTAGGCCGACTCTTTTCAACAGCTTTTTATGTGGTCTTTTTAAAATTTACGTAGAACCCCATCACTGAGGCCTAAGCAAAACAACGTCTTGCCTGGAACATGACAGGAGAGTCAGGAGGCAGAGGGGACGTGGGACCCGACGGCCTTGAAGGTCCTTCCTGACCTCGTGGGCTCAGAGCTCATCAGAGGGGCCAGCCTACCCGTCTCTGCGCTCCGGAGTGTAGCCCAGCGAGCCCTGCCCGCTTCTGCGAGGCAGCCAGTCACAGAGAGGGTGCCATCTAACACACACTTCATTCAGAGCATGCTCACTGCCGGGCAGGTCACTGAGCTTTTTGCTCTAAAATAGTTAACTTGTGCCATGTGCACAATTAATTTGAATGGCACTTTCTCTGCAATGCATTAACAAATTCATGGCATTTTCCGTCTCTCTCTTGCTTTCTGACTTACTAATTTTGTTGGCGTGGCCTGGACAAATGTCTAGGGATCTAGGTGGGAAACTAAAGGCCATCCCTGGGCAGCGGGCAGCTACACCAGCAGGGCCCTCCAGCCTCGCCAGGGCTCTCCTGGGCCAGACAGTGACCCAAGTACAGGGCCCGAAAGGGAGCTGGACAAGCACGCTGGCGTCCTTTCACCTCCACTAACAGCTTTGACTTCGGAAGTCCTCCCTGTGGTTTATGTTTCCTTTTGTTTCACTAAAGCGACTGATCAATTATCATCAATGAAAGGGGATTCAAATACTACTGACGTCACTATTTCAAAGAAGGGCTGCTTTCTGAGTCATATATCACATCACAGTTTTTACAGGGAGGGTGAACAGTTTGGGATGACAGCTTAAATAAAACTGTAGCTGCTCCAAAAAAAACTCCACTGGACATACAGTCAGAATATTTTGCTGCATGAAAGACATCACAAGAAGAAACAGTGGACACGCTTCCTCACTGTCAGTAAGTATGCCAGCGCTTACTCTCGCTGTGTGCTTTAAGGTTTTAAATGGTATAAGTTATGGGCTGTTACCCTAATAGCTTTTACTTTTATGAAACTGGGTAGACAACGCTTCGTTTGTTTTAGCGGCTCTCTCAGAACATTCTATAATACTTGTGCCTTATCTTTTGGTTCCAACTGTTTATGGCTATGACAACAAGGTGGTCCCCTCATACAATGATATCATTTTGTTTGAGACAGAATTTTTACGCTTTTATGTGGTGTCTGGCCTTTTCTTCCAACACCTCTCAGGAGCCCTCTGTGACCACCTTCCCACGACCGCATGCAGCTGTTTCTCTGCTTCACGCTGGCTCACACAGCAGCTGGCCCTTGTGCCCCGGGCCCAAGTCATCTTAAGTTATTGATTAAAGGCCGTGGCAAGCCGAGCGCCCAGCAGAAACTGCAGGGCAGAAACCACCGCCTGCACGTCCATCCTGAGCTCCAGTCAGGTCATCAGAGCAGTTGTCTTAAATGTGTTTGCCTATTGTCCCGTTTCCTAACCCAGCCACAGTCCACATGTTAGAGTTCATTGGAACATTTTCTGGGTCCTCAGTACATTCTAGTCAAATTCTGGGATATCGGTTTATTACCTGAACTTCTTTCAACATTCTAAATGAACACACCGCATTGCTAACCAATTTGGTGGTATTTACCAGCAGAGCATTAAACAACACTTTCATGTGCTACCGTCTATGAGACCAGAGGGAAGAAAAACTTACTGCCAGAATAAGTTTTGCCAGTTTAAGGCTGAGCGGGTCTGAGCCAACATCAACTAGTTTATACAGGGTCTTCAGGAGATGACTTCTTCTCCTGAATTTCTTTCCAAGCATGTTTTCTTCCTCTAAAGTGCGATGGAGTTGTGTGCAGGCAGCACAAAGCAGTTCAGTGTCTTCCTCTGTCAGGACAAAGAGAGGCAGGCAGCACTGACTAATTAGGGTCAAGTTTTCAGGTGTGTCCAGCACAGACAGTATAAGTGAAAACCCCATAATTATCTCCCCGGACATCTTCAAATGCCTCAACGAGGCCTTTCCCCTCTCTTAGCACTTTCATCTACCTGACTTCTTTTCATCTCATTGCTGCATCTCTTACCATGTCGACTTGTTTACTAACCAGTCAGTGAGCTTGCCTAGCACACACAGTCTTTAGGAGAGCATGTTAACGAGTGGAATGGTACCCGCTTTGGTTGGTCTCCTTCGTTCTAAAGGCCTCCCCCTCAGCCAGGGCTCTGTGTGGGCTCATGGAAGCAGACCATTTACATCCCCATCGCTAACCCTTTGGAGCACAGTCTACTGGCCTAGAATGTTCTTCTCCTGGTTCCTACTGATTCTGGCTCTTCAAGGCTCTGTTGATGTTCTGGCTTATCCAGAAAAGGTGCGCTAATCCACATACAACAAATGCTATCTTGTACTATTATTTCCACAGCTCTGTATATGATGTTGTGTGCTATGTCCAGTGCCCTCCAACAGACGTCATGCTAAGTGAGCAGGAATCCTGTCTCACACGTTTGTATCAATTGTGCATGGTGCAGTGAGAATACTGTACCGACAGCCTGTGACATAGTCAAATACATATTCATTTTCTAATATATCTGTTGTTAAAAACAACGATCGATATTTTTGTGTGAAAAGAATGCTCATGAGTGAGAACAGAGGCTCAAATGAAACAAAATCTCAAAATGTCCCCACACCCACCATGATTTGGAGGTGGTTATTAGAAAAGGGAGAATATGAAAAGAGACTTTTGTTAGGAAGCAGGGAGACTAGAACACTTCATTTTGTAATTAGAAGTCTGAGGAAAGCCATCTCTTAAAGTGGCAGCCACACTAACAGGCATGTAAGGGAGAAAAGCAGACACGGAAAGTGAAGAGAAATACACGAATCCAAGGTCCACAGTATTCTGTTGAAAAATATTATCTCTGATAGATTCCATCACAGAATTTAAAGCTAGGAAACCAATCTTAAATAAATACCATAATGTGCTCTTAAAAGCCCACATAGAGGAAGTGTGCGCCTGCAGAAGGAAATGACTCAGGCCATTTTTAGCTCTTTTCAACAATAACATCTAAGAAAAAATTTAAAACCTCAATAGCGAAGTAACCTTCAATGCCTTTCAGTTATGCATTTCAATAAATGAATTGATGGGAAATGACTTAGACTAACTTTAAATGCAGGGAAAGACCTGAGCTCTATTGTGAAAAACACTTTTGTCTCGTTGTTTTCTTCTTCTGTAACTGGCAGTCTCTTCAAACCCGAGGCCAGTGGGTTCAGACTTTAAGGCATTCGCCTAATGTCCCCCTCCACCAAGCCTTCAACCTGGTGGGTTCTACTCAAGGGCATCTGTTTCAGCTTAAAATTAAAAAATAAGGCTCAAGGGCCAAGTTTTAAAACGATTGATCAAATGAACACTTGATACCAGTTGGCTTGTTATCCATGCCACGGATCCTCAAAACACAACTTGAATCTAAGAGCTATCAAGATTTTTAAGGGGCTAAAGCTAGGGAGTGAAAGTTTGATGAATGATATACAACAACATCGTCTCAAAGTACCCCTTCCCCCATAAGATACTTATCAATTACAAGAGAGAAATAGTGATTTTACAGTAGAAAAACTATAAGTCGTGCAGACTCACTTCCTGAAAGGCTTACGTAGTATCTGTGGAATCTGGGGGAAGAGACTTCTTGGTACTATGCTTGCAACTTCTCTATAAGCCTAAAATTATGTCAAAGTAAAAAGTAAAAAAAGAAAAAGAATCTCAAAGGATCAAGTAACCCAGCCCTGCCCCTTTTGCTATTAAAATCGGCAGACACCAACTTCCTCAAGTGGTCAGAGTTCACCTCACCAGCAATGGACCAAGGCAGCATCACATGCCTCCTAATAGGATGCACTGAGGACATAGCACCACCCATCCCATAGACCTGCCCCAAATGCCTAACCTGGATCTAATTGTGAGAAACTACCGGACAAACCCAATTTGTGGGGCAGTCCATAAACAATTAGACTGGACTCTTCAAACATGCCAAGATCATGAAGGAGATGTGACAAATAATTGGAACTTGTGATCGCAATTTTCTTTTTCTATAAAGAAAATTATTAGGCCGAGACCGGCTTGGCTCAGTGGATAGAGCATCGGCCTGCGGACTGAGGGGTCCCGGGTTCGGTTCCGGTCGGGGGCATGTGCCTGGGTTGCGGGCATATCCCCAGTGGGAGATGTGCAGGAGGCGGCTGATCGATGTTTCTCTCTCATCGATGTTTCTGACTCTCTGTCTCTCTCCCTTCTTCTCTGTAAAAAATCAATAAAATATATTTTAAAAAAAAGAAAATTATTAGGATAACTGGCAAAAATCTGAATGTAGTGCTGCATGGTAACTTCCAGGTATATCACAGAAGGCCCTTGTTTCTACAAGTATATACCAGAGTACTTAGGGATACGGGAATCATGCCAGCAACTTGTTCTCAAAGGGTTTAAAAAAGGAAAAGCAATGTGTATGTGTGTGTGTGTAGCGGGGGGCAAGAAGGGGGCATATCAGAGAAAAAGAACAAGAGGGAGGAAGAGAGAGAGACTGATGAAGCAAATGTGGTAAAATGTTAATCTCTGGGGAATCTGGGGGAAGAGCATACAGGATTTCTTTGTACTGTGCTTGCAACTTTCCATAAGCCTAAAATTATGTCAAAAAAAAAAGAAAGAAAGAAAAAGAAAAAGAATTTCAAAGGATCAAGTAACCCAGCCTGCCCCTTTTGCTGTTAAAGTTGTCTGTGGAAGACACATCCTACTTTAGCGTCTAATCCTTCTGAGACCGTCCACATGTCAAAACCCAAGGCCCTGTTAGCTCCTGCGGGGGCCCATGGGACAGAGCCCTCAGAACCTCCTGGGATCCTTCAGGCTGAAGTCTTCCTCCGAGAGAGGTCCCTGCACTGCCAGCCCCACTCCCGCTGGGTGCCTCCCCGTAAGCTTGCTTGTTAAACTCCTACGCACTAAGTGCTCCCTCACTAGCGTAGGCCCGCATCTCCTAAAGTCAGGGCTGAAGTCAACCGGGCCTACCAACAAGAGGGTGAAGATGAGGAACTCTAGAGGGACCACATCAGAACATCCTTATTCTCAGGGATTTGAGTGGCAGTGGACTTGGGTGAGGATCTGGTCTCACTCACCCCTCACCTGGCAGGTGAGGAGCACCTGCACTGAGGTCAGGTGAGTCCCCCAATGTGCAGGCCTCCCACATCAGCCTGAGCCCGGCCAAGAACCTACAGGGAGCTGAGCTCATGTGGCCTGTTAGGGAGTGAGTCTGCACGGCTTCCCTGTTCGGCGTGGCTGCTGGGGAGGACTCACTCACCCACTTCCCCTGAGCCTCTTCCTGTGGCTGCCGTGCTGTTTTGCTCATCTCAGGGGCACTCATCCCACAATTGCTAGTGAAGGCCTACTATGTGCTGTTGTGCCAGGCACTGAGCTTAGCCCCCGGCCATGGCTGCAGCTCCACGGGAGCCTGTTTCAACCTCAGAAATGAACTCCCCGAGCAGTGGAGAGAGGAAGAAGGAGGGGGGGCATTCCCCTGACTGGCAAGCTCCCCACAGGCCACATCTGCAGAGGCCTGTTGATCGTGGGCCTTCACTGCCGGCCACTCCAGAGTGCACACCCCACAACACTTCCTGCTCCGAGAGGCACCCCTGACAGGTGTGCTCTAACTAAAGAGAGCAGGACATCTGCATTTGGATCTAGAAAACCAGGGGCACAGCTGCCCAGGACGCCAGTCTACGAGACTTAGTCAAGTTTCAGAGACCTGCAATCTGTTTCAATCTTTCACTTTCTTGCTTAACTGCCACCCTAAAGAGCTCAAACCAGCATCCCTGTGGGCAGAGGAGATGAAAATAAATATATATTCCAAGGGGGATTTTACAAGTAGACTCTCATGCTGCACTTAAAGTACAATTTTCCTCATTAAAAATTAGGTTTACATATAGTCCTGGGTAAACAGGTAGATGACTTCATTTGTTTTTTAATGAGTTCATGGAAATGAAAGTCAAAGCATACTAAAAACATCAGGGCAACGGGGACATATATATATGTAACCACAGATATTTCTGATTTAAAACAAAAAATACTTTTTTATTACCTTTCTGTAATTTGTGCAAAATTGGCACTATCCTGGTATTCCAAAAGACATCGTCTACTTCCATCTCTGTAACCTTTTCTTGCAGGTCAGCTTTTGAACCTGCAAAAGAAACCCAGAGCAGGGGAAAGAGCACTGAAAAGAGTTGTAACTGGAGCATCGTCAAAAGCCTTTGCTATCTGTCACTAAGAATAGTAAACTCGAGAGAACCGAAGATGGCGGCATAGGTTAACACCAGAGATTGCTGCCTGGAACAACTAAGTCAAATTAAGCTTGATCCAGGGAAAGGACAACGTCCAGAGCCACAGGAGGGCTGGCTGAGTGGAAATTCTA